AATTAGGCCCACCTATTTAATCCCTAATTTTGTGTATTTTCTTGGTTGTATTGAGAGGATCATAAGAATAGATTACACGAAGCACACACATATTATTACCTATGGCATATGGTAGTTACTGTCTAATAGATAGATCTTAGTTAGTTGGTTAAAATAGGATTAACTCATGTAGCTACTTAATGTTAATCTCATGTTAATCGTGACTCAAGGAAGCTATGTACTCATTGTAATCCATAGAAGTCAACAATATCAAAAGAGAAGTTTCTTAGTAATGTTTGGTTCTCTCTTTGCAAGTAGAGAGGGTATCCACTATATAGGTGCAGTTTGCAGTTCAACAGAGCCAGGCCATGTCATTCACTTCTACATGCATCCTGGCTATAGGAGACTTGGTCTGGTCTTCCCACTCACACTGTACCTTAGTGGCTGCTATGGTGTGATGTTTCCCCTGAAGTTCATGGGTTGGAAATTTAATCCCTAACAGAATTGGAAGGTAGTACCTAATGATAGGTAATCGTGAATGGGCCAATGCCACCTGTAAAAGAACCTGAAGCTTTGAGTTTGAGATATTATCGTCTGTCTGTCTGTCCATCTATCTATCATCTATCTATTTGTCATCTCTATGTCTCTATCTGTGTCTCTGTCTCTGTCTATGTCTTCCCTTGCCCTTCTGCCATATGGTAACATAATAAGAAGACCATCAACAGATGCTGATTTCTTGATCTTAGACTTTTGAGCCTCTACCACCATGTGCAAATATGTTTCTGTTTATTATACATTTTTTATACTGTGATATTCTGCACTAACAGCACAAAACAGACTCAGACTGTGGCTTCCTCCCACGCATTTTAGACTGCACTATCCAAGTATCTATAATGGAAATTTCATATTCTATTAGGCCTGTTCTAAACACTAAATGTGATAATGACATTGCTTTCCCACTCTCTGTGTCCTTGTGATGCTGTGGTCCTTTCATCCAAGTGTCCATGGTGATGAAATGAGTGCTACTCCCCAGCTCAAGCAGCTGCCTTTTGACTCAGCTAGCTTCAATTAGAGCAAAAAATACTGTGGACCCTGTGGCTTAGAGAACCAGAGTTTTCTTCAAGGTTCTGAGGGTTGGGAAGTCAGGATCAAGAGGAATTGTTTTGTAGATGAATTTCATCTTGCTGTGTCTTTCACATAGTGAGAATTGGGGAAGAGAAAAGAGAGAAAGAGGAGAAAGAGAAGTGGGACAGAGAACACTTGGGCCTATAACCAGGCCACTAATCCCATTATAAGGGCTTTGCTCTTTTGTCTAATCACCTCCCCAAGGATCTGCTTTCTAACCAGCTTCAAATTTGAAATCCAGATGGATTCAAGGAGCACCTTTTGTGGTTTAACTTGGAATTACCAAAACTTGGTAAGACTGTTTCCCAAGTTGTAAGATGAGAAAATCTCAAGAAGAGTGTGAGGATCATGTGTGAGGATAACTGGACACAATAGCCCTTCTTCATTAGCAAGAGAGGAAGGTGGGGCCCTAGGTTTAGCTGCTGAACATTCATAATCATGGTAGGTAAGAAATATTATACTTATCTTGTAATATTTCTTTCATGAATGTCCCTCTGTGCCCCTGTTGCTGTGAAAACCCAAGTTTTTCAAGTTCTTTTGCTTGCCAGTGGTGGGCGTAGGGTACATATCTCAAAAGCATAGTTTTCTCAGGCACCATGTCTTAGTCTGCTTTTTGCTCTGTTAGAATACCCCAACTGAGTAGTTTGTGAACAACAGAAGTATATTTGACACATGATTCTGAAGTCCAAGTTTGAGGGCTGCATCTCACAAAGGTCTTCTTGCTGTGTCTTCCTTACTAGAAGGGTGGGACAGAAGGAGGGAGGGAGAGAGACCAGAGTGAGCTGCTTTTAAACAAACTCATCTTGTAATATTTCTCTCAATTCATTCTGAAGACAGAGCCCTTGTGTCCCTATTAGGTCCCACCTTTCAACATTGTCACATTGGGAATGAAGTTTGCAAACACTGAGTTTTGGGGATGCATTCAAACCATGGTGCTCAGGCTTGTTCTGATGACACCTTCTTTGTTCCTGCCCCAGAACCTACCATGATTATGAATGTTCAGCAGCTAAACCTAGGGCCCCACCTTCCTCTCTTGCTAATGAAGAAGGGCTATTGGTGTCCAGTTATCCTCACACATGATCCCAAAATACCCCAAACAGAAATGCTGCAGTTCCTAATTCCACTCTCCCCATGTCTCTACTTTTGCTACACCCTCTTTTTAAAAGGCTACAGGCAACAGTCTCTAGCTGGGGAAATTTTATTCTTCAGCCTTTTCCTTCTTGGGTCCAGGCATGTCCATGGGGGTGACCACTGGGTTGAAGGCACAGACCCAGACTGGGGTCTGCTACAGTATCAGGACCTTGTCCCTCCCATGGACTATTTCTTAGGAGGGTTTCCTGTCCTAAATGTATAGTCCCTGGTAGAATTGCCCAGAGCACAGTCTATCAACATTCTTTGTCAAGCAGGGGCTTCCCAAAGTGAACAGATTTTGTTTTTTCCACCTGAAGTCTAAAGACCAGGTTGTTTCAATAAAATAAATATAGATGCTTATTTGAGACTCAGAATAAAATAATCTTTATTATTATTTTTTTTAATTATTTTTATTTTTAATAAAAATCAATGTAGCTTTTACTCGGTATGTTTTTGTTAATGATGCATCTGTTACTACATTAACAAAGCATTCTGAGTGATGGCATTTCATCACTGTTGGAAGTAGGAAATACATGTTTTCTTTAATATAAGAAATCTTTTATGAATGAATGAGGTACAAAAAAGGGAATTTATTGTTTAATGGATGCCAAATCAAGCTCTTGTTCATAACAAAAATGCTATATTCTTAGCCCCATTTTACATATGAGAAAATGGCAATTTAAAGAAGTATCTTACCCAAGGTCAAAGAGGTCATAGGTGGAGAATTAGGACTAGACCTCAGATTGCCTGACCCTAGTGTGAGGTTTCAGACCGCGTCTCTCTTCACAAATCTTTCTATGCTGTCCAAGTGTTTTAATGAGAATGAAAATGGAGAGAAAGATAGCGGAACACATTTCTCATTTTCAGGAACAACTGCTTTTCATTTTAACTGGGGGAAGGAAAATGCCTGTCCATGAAACATGTTTCTTCAAGTCCGTAATTTAGATTACCACATGACAGATTACACAAAAATATAGCTTCATGAGCAAAGAACCATTGTACAGACAGAATAATTTCTGTGCAGACTTCTGTGCTTCGGGATAAATGTAAACTGCATTTCTTAATCAATCAGAAGGCACATTGTTATATTTAAGCAGACATATTCTCTTGGACAATCAGGACATCTTTTTTTAAGTTGCAGGAATGACTTCTGCATTTTAATTACATGTACGAATAGACATTCACCTAGTACTTAGTTGGGCTGGTTGGCAATATTTGATTGGGATGGACAGTCTGGTTTAATTAGATATTGTCTACTATGTGAAAAAGACAGACTCGTTTTTTTTTAAAAAATAATTTATTGAGGATTTCATACAAGCATATAAGGTGTTTTGATCAAATCCATGCCCACTCCCTCCCCTCCAACTCCTCCCATATCTCCCCATAAGGTGTTTTGATCAAGTCCATACCCACTCCCTCCCCTTCAACATTGCCCCCTCTGGAATGGTAGCCCTAAAATCTTTTAAGGATTAGATACAAGCTCCCAAATGCTTTTGATATTTTTGGCCTTTGGAACAGAGTATGTTGCTAAGAGGCCCAAGGACATTTTGACTTTTAGCCAAGAAACTGGCTACTTTTCTTTGGGGTCTTTTTATACTAACTGCCTAGCCAATACCTACCTCCTATCCTTATCATGCCATCCTCTGAAGAGGTTACCCAGCTTGCAGATAGGTAATTGGGAAGCAGATCGCTCTGGCTTCTTCCATGATGAACAGGGACGCAGGGTGAGGCAATTGGGGTACCCCTTCAGTGGGGTTATCTAAAAGACTCCCAAATTGCATAAGTCTTATCTGTAGGGAGAAAAGAAAGTCCTTGACTGGTGAATAGGAGATGTGAAGGAGAAGTAAAGGCAGGAGTAGTTAGCATTACATGTTCTAGACAGAGAACTATAAAAAAGTCAGAACAGGGCAAATTTCAAATGTTAATATGAGAGTCCATTGGAATTTCTTGATGAGAGCTTCCAAAAGCATCCCTCTATTGGGTTCCTCCTCATTTTTCTTTTGTCTGCCAGGGCTGGACTCGAGAGTGATGGATTCAGGATTTGCTTTCAGGCATTTTGATAACTGTTGGAGTGGTTAGAATCAGTATCAGTTCCCTCTCAAAGGCTTCTAGATAGGGGGAGAAAACAAATGTAGCCATCATTTTAGAATAGTAACAGGTTGTCTCCCCTTAGCTACAGGTAGGCACTACAGTATTGCAGACCAAGATTTGAAGTCTTACATCCAAGCAGCACTTTCTGATTCACAACAAAATCATCAATGAGAAATAATTATCTAAATAACTTTTTTTTTTCATTCCTGTGATACATGGAAAGAACGGTTTAATGTGAAGCATTCAGCAGGAATAGAATTCATTTTTTTTCTCTGTATTTTACATCATTTATACCTTTTGGATTATTTAAAGATTACCCTACACAAATTGAGAAATTTGCCATGTAAGTTACAGTAATGCTGTTTTTTCCAAAAAGTGTGTTTACATATGTGGAGGTCCTTGATCTAGGAGCATCAATAATAGTGTGTATGTAATGAGAGAAAGACAGTCCTTAGATCCAATTGAAGTTCTATCACAGGTGAGTACACTCCAGCCAGAGTGGACCCCTGTGAGCATCAAAGGGGTCTCACCCTGAGGATGTTTCACATATCAAACTGTCCCAGAGGGAATTCTAGTAAATTTTGGCATCTGACTATACCATAGGAACTTACCTTTAAATTTTTATTTGCTTTTTATATTTTAAGCCCCCACACATCAACCTCTTCTTTTTCCAGGCAACACGTGCAGCCATCACTCAGCACTGCACAGACCTTGGGAATTTGCTGGGCAAGGAGAATGACGTGGCCCTTATCATCGATGGCCACACCCTGAAGTATGCACTGTCCTTCGAAGTCCGCAGAAGCTTCCTAGATCTGGCACTCTCCTGCAAGGCGGTCATATGCTGCAGGTAGGAATGCATGCCTGCAATTCATGATCTGGTATGTCTGTCTTGTGGGCTTTTGTAGAAGAAGAATCAGTGGATGAAAATTCTAGGCTTCAAGTTGTATGTTAAAAAAAAAAAAAAAGTCAAACATGGGGCCGGAGAGATGGCTCAGCAGTTAAGAACACTGGTTGTTCTTGCAGAAGACTCGGGTTTGAATCCCACCACCCACACGGCAGCTAACAACTGTCTGTAACTCTAGTTCCAGGGGATCCAACAGCCTCTTCTGTCCTCCACAGGCATTGCATGACATGGGTGCACTTACCTACATGCAGGCATAACACTCATACACATAAAAATAAAAATAATAAAATATTTTTAAAAAGTCAAACAAAAATACTTAACTGTTGGTTTACAGATTTTCCCAAAAGCAACAAGTGGCTTTTATGCTTTTGTTTACTGTCTTCAGAGAAGACAAAAAAGATAAGGACCAGGGTCTTCAGTGATGAGTATAAGATCAAAACTCTGCCCCAAGCCAGCCTGGGAAGTCTGTAGGTCTTACCTACTTGGTTCCTTGCTCTGGGTTATCTGAACTCAATTCAAAGACCTGGGTACTCTGAGGCCTCTGCTGCAGCTCAGGCACATGTGCTGTACAGTCATGGGGAGGTTGGTGTGATGCCAGTTTTTGTGTCACAACCTGTATTGGTTACTTTTCTCATTGTTGTGACCAAATACCTTACAAGGAGTAACTAAAGAAGGAGAGGTTTATTTGCTTCACAGTTTGAGAGTATATAGTTCATCATGGTGGGAAGGCCTGTTGGAGTTCATGGGGCCGGCATGTGTGGCATAGTGGGGAAGGCCTGGTGGAGTTCGTGAGGTGGGGGTGTGTGGCATGGTGGGAAGGCCTGGTGGAGTTCGTGAGGTGGGGGTGTGTGGCATGGTGGGAAGGCCTGGTGGAGTTCGTGAGGTGGGGGTGTGTGGCATGGTGGGAAGGCCTGGTGGAGTTTGTACAGTGGAGGTGTGTGGCTAGTACTCTTAACATCTCGGTGGACCAGGAATCAAAGCATGAGGAATGCTGGCACTCAGTTAACTTCTCCATTTTCCCTTTTTATTCAGTCTCAAACCCTTGTCCATGGGATGATGCATTGCACATTCAGGATGGCTCTTTCCTCCTCAGCTAAACCTCTCTGAAGACACCTTTGAAGACATACCCAAAGGCATGCCTCATTAATGCCCTAAGTGTTTCTTAATCTAATCAAGCTGACAATTGCAACTAGCCATCACACCAACCACCCAACCAGAAGTGTTTCTTGGTTCTTCATGGAAGTCTGGGGAGATTTGAAAGGGTGGAAATTGTTAACATCCTATCAACTACACACAGAGTAGAGGTCTGCTTCTGATAGAGATCTGTAAGAAAACAAACTAGTAGGAAGATAAGAGGCCACCACAGGCTAAAGGCATGTGATAGCCAGAGGGTGAAAAGCATGCTGGAGAATGCTCTCCTCTATAGTTTCCCTTTGCGTCCAAGGTGCAGTGTTGCTCACTTCTGGAGGTGATGCTTGTTTTCCCTGAGTCACAAGTCCTGGCCAGTGAGTCCCTTCTGCCTGCTGCCTACAGGGTTGGTCAAGAAGCAGCTGCTGAGCCTGTAAGTGTCTGAAGCAAACAGCAGCAGCAAGGGCCTCAGGAAACCATGCAGATCAGCCTGGGAAAGGACAACTCCAACCAAAGGTTAAACCCTTACAGAGGCTTTCAACAGGAAAATCAAAATGTATCCATCTAGGCTCCCAGGGAAGAGCCAGGGAGGCCTGTGGACCACAGACATAGCCAGCTACTTGGTGCTAAAGAAAAACATCTTTTTCCTTTTCTAGCTTAGGGGGGTCTTTGTGTGCCATACAGATGTAAGTTTCAGGGTGTCAAGGACTGAATAGGCCCTGAAAGCAAATTTCAAGTTAAACACAGTGACTTTGCATAACATAGAAGCATTCATTAGGAAGGGGATCCAAGGGAGCTCATTGCTGTCACACTTCTGATGAACAAAACTGAACACATACTTTATACATAAAGCACTCACACGCTTCATCTGCATTTTACTGTCAGTTGAAAATTTAAATGCTAGCAAAATTTAGTATGTGGTTTTAAGCATGAACTTGGTCTTAATTCTTATTTTCTACATTTAAAATATAATTATTTTATGAATTTCTCTAATACCAGAAGAAAATGTTTCCTTTATTCAAAAAAATAACTTTCTTAGGAAATCATTACATTTTCTAATCAATATGGATTCATAGATGTTGAATATTATATAAAAATGGATAAATACCTTCAAATTAAAACATTAGGCAGTGGGGCTGGAGAGATGGCTCAACGGTTAAGAACACTGGCTGTTCTTGCAGAAGACCAGGGTTCGAATCCCAGCACCCACATGGCGGCTAACAACTGTCCGTACTCCAGTTCCAGGGCCTCTGACTGTTTCTTCTATCCTCCGTGGGCATTGCACGACACAGGTGCATTTACCTACATGCAATATGCATACACATAAAAATAATAAATAAAATATTTTTTAAAAAGACATTAGGAAGTGAAATTTAGGCAATGAAAATGGGAATTGTGGCAGTTCCCCCCAGGTCCTCAGTGGGCCCAGGCATTCTCAAAGATCTTGTCTGTGAACTGAAAACTTCTCCATACTCCATGTAGCTGTGTCAGTCCCAAAGCATCCTCCAGCCAGGCATATGGGTGTGGCTTTAGGCCCAGCCACTCTGAATGCTGAGACAGACAGGAGGGTTGCTTGAGCCTAAGAGATCAAGGCCAGCTTGTACAACAGAGCAAACCCTGTGTCTTGCCTTTCCACTCTTGCTTTTGGGGCATGTGAGGTGTCTGCCTAGACTGACATACATACAGTCTCCTCTTCATAGTATTTAGGGAAATGAGAAGAAATGAGTCTTTTCCTATGTAATTTTTGACTTTAGGAATTTATTGAATGTTTTCATGAAATTACACTTAATTTAGCTAATTGCAAATGGCTTTACTCTAATATTTTCCATGCAGTTAAAAATCCTAGCTTGGTCATCTGTAGTCTGCAGGTCGGGTGCCAATCAGTTTACTTTGGGTCTTAGGTGCTGCTACACTATTAAAGTATGAACTATTACACAAAGAAAACTTCAGTTACGACTTTGATACTTGCATTATGCATTCCTAGGTGTTGTGGAAGAATCAAAGAGAGCCAAGGTATGGCCTTTACTCTTAAGTGACAGTGTCTTATAGTATTTTGCTAATTCTCTGCATCTGCTATGCACTCCAGTTTTTGGACCAGGCCCTTGGTGAGGCTGGCCTAGCCCGAATTTCCATCTTGCCACAAACAATCGACACTACCAGTTCCTTTCAGCGTTTGTTATTGATGGCTCCTGCTTTAAAATTATTTTATTATTGCTATAGTAATAATTATATCTGTGTGTGTCCATATGACAGAGGTGGCATGCGGCACATTACACCTGTGGAGGTCAGAGGATAGCTCTGCAGAGTTGCTTCTCTCCTTCCACCTTTATTTGGGTTCAGGGGATTGACCTTGGGTCACCAGGCTTTGCATAGCAAGCACCTTTGCCCACTGAGCCATCTTTCTGGCCTCTGATGCTCTTCTTTGATATTTCTCTCATCTCCCAGTATCTCCCATTCCTGTATCTACTGTCTTTCTAGCAGCTCTGAAATGTCTTCTAGGGTTTTTGGCATGAGGCCCCATCATAGCCTCACTTTTGTGTCTTCTCCCTATGTGCTTCCCTCTTCTCTCTATTTACTTTACATAGAATCATCTGGAGAATCTTAGGGAGAAAAAAAAAAGAGTTTCCAATGTAAGACAATCAAACCACGAAGCAATTCTATTCCCAGGCATAGACCCAGAACCAAAAACAGGTACTCCAACAAGTACTTATACACATATTTATAGCAGCATTGCTGGCAATAGCCAAAATTTCAGACAACTCAAATGTTTATCAGTTCATGAATGGTTCATCAAAATGTGGTGTATCTATGCAACAGGGTAGTATTCAGCTATAAAAAGAAATGAGGTAGTGATACATCTATAAAATGGATGAAAGTCAAAGCTATGCCTGGTTAAAGAAGCTAATCATAAAAGAGCTGGCGTATGGTATTATTTCATCAATACAGAATATTCAGAATGGACTCATCCATAAAACTAAATAGCCAAGGGAAGTAGGAAGGGGTGTGATTGTTCCAGGGATACAGCTCTTCCTTTGGAAGAGGGAGGGTGAAACATTGTAGAACTGGATGTAGTGGATGGTTACATGGTGTTGTGGTTATGTCTGGCCTCAGTGGCTCTCAGAAACCATGAAGGAAGAACTGATGACCCCCTCACTCTTGCATCTTTTATGCATCTAAAACCAGCACCATGTGAACAACACTGCCAAGTTAGGATGCCAGCTTGGGATGGACCATAGTCCCCAAAGTAGTTAATTTTATGTTCTGTAAATTTTATCTAAATAAAAATATATACACCCAGGTTCCATTCCCAGCACCTACATGGCAGCTACAAACCATCCTCAACTCCAGGTCCAGGGAAATCTGACGCCCTCTTCTGACCTCCACGGCATTGCACAACACGGGTGCACTCACATACATGCAGGCAATACACTCATATACATAAAATAAAAATAATAAATAAAATATTTAAAAAATATGTATGCACGAACAAATATTTATCTAATTAAGTGAAATCTCACTGAATAGAAAGAAAAAATGGAAGTCAATTGAAAAATAAAAAATTAGTTTGTGGCCATTCTCCCTGTGAACAAGTGAATCTGTACTTTAGAGGCTTTATAGACCGCTGGTTGATTCCAGAACTGAGATTGACAGCTTCCCCAATCTGTTTGTGCATATCATCCCCACTCCTAACCCCTAACCCCCACTGAACTCCCACCCAAGAGCCATCTGTGTCCCAGACTTTTTCAGGCCTGCATTCTTTGTATACCTTAAATTCTAGATGTGTCAGTAGAATCAGGCATGACCTCTGCCTACAC